TCGCAACGCCTAAACCACATAGTTCTCATTTGTAAAGTGCTGTGTAATTAATTAAACTTTAATTTATTTACCACCTGGGCGCTCTGATTCACAGACTTGATTTATTGTAATCTGTGCGCTGTTGTTGCTATGCCAGTTCTTCTGAGATGTCCACACTGATTGTCTCTTGTTGACTTCGATAAGCGTCAGAAATATTTTATGAATGTTTTGATCGAAAACCGCAGTGGTGCAGCGCCAAGAGGCTCGTTTGCAGATCCCAAGATCATGGGTTCAAATCCAAACTTCCCCGTGTGGGTTCCTAAGCCACATAGTGTGCCCATTGAGTGTGAGTGTTTGTGGGGGGGGGGGGGGGAGGAGTATATAACCACTGGCTGTCTAAAAAAGCAAGAAAAAGTAGAATAAAAGGGGTTGCCTTCAAAGTCGGAGTGCATCTGCTGGGAGGCAAGGAACAAACAGGCTGCTTACAAATAAGCCAGATCTGTAAACAAAAATATGCATTCAAAACTCAAGTTCCTAAACAAGACTAAAGACCAGAAGTGGACGAACAACTAAACTTCCCGCCGGTGAATACGAAGAAATCCGAACCAAACTGAACGTTTTTTTTTCAACAGTGACATCGGCTATTAGGTCGGCCCAGACTTTTAAACGTAGTCCTGGAAAGTAAAGGCGGTCGACGTAATGCTTATCACATCACCCAACAAGTGCTGATTGGTCTATAAAATATAGGTCTGAAAGGTCACCGTTACTTCGTGTGGATTGGGAGCCGAGGTGATTCAGATGTATGTTTGTTTTAGTATCCAGAAGCCATGAGTTGTTAACCCTTAGGCTCGGTATTATGGATATCGCAACCTTTCGGCCTTGATTCCATTGTAAATAGCGTAAATCTGGGAGAAATGTGGCTTTTCTGCCTACCCCCGGACCACAAGGAGTTCGTCACCCGGTCTCCGTGCAATCCGGTTTAGCCAACTACGCAGGTGATTTAGAAGGTTGTACCTCTATCTGTTTGTCCCGCAGTTTTGTGTCCAAAATCCTTTGATTTACGACAGCTCGGGTGGAAAGTTATGCCGTTGCAGTGCTTAGACTACACCACATAAAACAGTCAGAGCCACCTGATCTCTGTTAACTTGGAACTTTGGGCGGTGTGTATCAACTTTCCCGCATTAGTTTTTGGGTCTTCTTCTTTGAGTCATCGGCTGAAAGTTATGGCTGTCTGTCCACTTTTGGTCTTGATTTGTGTGTGCAGACTGTTGGTTTTTCACTTTTCAGGCAGATGCACTCTGATTTTGAAGGAAATACCCTTAATTAGTAATCTTTTATAATTTGCTTGTTAGGAAACTGTAGGTCAACCCACCCACCCCAAAGAGGGGTTTCCTAAACCATTTTAATTGATTTTGTATATTATTGTTTGTAACCGTAACTATTTATATCAAGTGCTGATAAAGGCTTTTAAGCCGCAGCATCATTCACTTGTTTGTAGTAATGTGAAGCTGGCAAATTTTTGTTTGTTCAAGGAAATATATACGTACAGTTTACATATATTTTCTTACACACTGTGCAAACAACTTGTGGTGGAGGAACACACTGGGGAGGATTCTAGACGTTTCCTAGATAGAGGATTGTACAACCTGAAAACTTCAGATTATGGCAGTGCAGACCAGACCCTTAGTCTTGGCTTGCACTGGTCTAGGGGGGAAGTTCTGACAAAGCACCGCTCTTATGATGTCGACAGTATATTTTCTTCCAAAAATATTAGTGTTACCTTGTCTTTGCAGTAAACAAAGTGAGAGATCATGCTGGATGTTTGAACAACGGATCAACATCATGGTACACGGGTAGTAACCCATAAGTGCTCTGTTCTTTGTCTAACTCAATTCCGAGTCCCAATAAGCTCAGCACAGTGCACAGGCTCTGTAGCACTGGCGAGGATCCTAAAATACTTCAGGTAGATTTTCAACTCCAAATTTTGCATAGGCAGTGCTGTTAGGCTACTCTTTTCGATTCCCGACAGCCAAGGGATTTTTTATGTGCGCAACAATGCACACGGGCGTCTGATCTCACTACCCAGAGACCATGGGGAATTACCAGAAGTCCAAGTCCACGTGAAAAAAATCCCAGCCCTTACCGGGGACTGAACCCGGAACCTCTAGCACTGGAGGCAGCCTCTTACAGTACTGACCAGGTTGTGTGCCACATAGAAGTGGAACTTCTCCTCGGGTCGTCAACTGGTTTTGGAATCATTCCCTAATGCCAGAGGATCTTATCTGCTAGCCCCACTCACAGAGCATGTTGAGAAAGGTGATAACAGGAATGCTTCGTGCAGAGTGGCAAGCATCATCTCAGATGTCGCAGGTAGTCAGCATCCTTTAGATATTTTCTCCAGGTGATGCCGGTGTGTTAGGAAATGAGCTGACCGACAGACTGGATGGCTCTGCACCACTTGGTGGTGAATTGATGTATGACAAGTTAAAAATTGTGAGGGCCCTTTGGGAGCGAGTACACTGTGCGGAGGCGCAGACAGATCATTATGGCCTAAGGAGAATGGCGCTGCGAGGAGTTACTAGGGAATCTGGCCGACGCTCAACACTCAGGGGAAGGATGAGACGGATGTACAATCAGATGGTTACTGGTACCACTGGAATTTGAACTCTTTGCTTGCTGCTAAAGATGTGGACTGAGCACTTATGGGAGTGTACCGAGTGCTGCAATAGCAATTCTGAAAATGTTAGCCCCACTCAAACGATCACCATGGGCTGTGTTTCTCAAGCCACTATATAGAACAGTGCACTCTTTATCAATAGGTATGTCCTGTAGAACATGTCGCTATCTCCACACCTCGCCTGAAAGTTTCTTTTTATCCTGCCCAATGTGCTTTTATAGATAAAGGTGAAGTCTGCAGATGTGAACCAGCGTCATGGCACACGGTTATAAACCATAAGTGCTCTGCCACCAGTACGGACAGCTGATAAGAAACTGTCCGCCTGTGTCACCCTCCGCACGCAACTCCGTAGCTACAGCGACGTTCCTCTACTTACCCAAGAGTGTTAACTCTGGTACCCGTTACCCAGAAGCTGGGTGAGCCCCGAGAACCGCCCGGGTTTCGAACACCGGCCGTGGGCTGCAGCGAGTCGCAGCTGGGTTAGAAAGCAAGTCCCCTATCAATTACACTAACGTTTTCATAGATAATCATCTTCAGTGTCTTGTCTTCTATCCATCTTCATGGAGGTCATCCTAACCATTTTGTACCCGCGATATAGTTTTACAACTAACCATCCATGTATTTGTATACTTTTACATCCAACCCGTACAGAAGGTATATTTTTTTTAAACTATCGCTCCATGTGGCTGGCAGATTTACAAACCCCAAAAAGAAGGTATAGTTTTACAACTCCCAAATAACCCCACCCCCGCCCCCCCTCCCGAAAAAAGAAGTCTGACAATTTCAAATGGAAGGTATAGTTTTATAAACCCCAAATAAAAAGTATGGTTTTACAAACCCAAATAGAAGGTCTATTTATAAACCAATCATTCTGGAAGGTATTGTTTTAAAACCCCAAAGAGATGGTATAGTTTACAACCTCAAATAGAAGGTAGTTTTACACCAATCTTTCCATGTAACAGGTAGTTTTACAACCCCAAACAGAAGGTATAGTTTACCTCAAATAGAAAGTAGTTTTACACCAATCTTTCCATGTAACAGGTAGCTTTACAATCCCAAAAAGAAAGTATAGTTTTACAACCGCATCTATCATGACTAGTTTTACAACGCCCCAAAGTGCCAACTGAAAACGGTTTCGAAAACCACTAGCATAGACTAACCACCCACCAGTGATTACTTTTACAGTGACAAACATTCTTCTTCACATTCACCGGCTGTACCTTTAGCGGAAAGTTCTGGTGGTTCGCTCATATCTGGCATGCAGTCTTATTCCAGAAGGTAAGTGTTGTACGAACATCTGTTTTAGTTTGACTTATATGCAGTTTGTCGGTTCCTTGCCTCAGGGAAATGCACTATGACTTTGAAGAAAGTTACCCCCTCCATGTTGTCACCCATTAGTCCACTCTTAGGACATGCTTGTTGAGGCAGCAGGTCTATTCTTGTTGTTCCCACAATATGGCCCAGGCACTCGCAAGCGTAACAAACACATTCAATGCAGTAAAACAATTTGAATTTACTAGGCTATTTACAATAAAGTAAGTCCAAAAAAACACACATGGAGAGGGGAACCAGAGAATGAAGTTAAAAAGATGAGGAGAACATGAGGAGAGCTGCAATAGCGAAGGATGGAACGACTTGCCATGAGTTGGTTGAGGGCCTATGCTGCGGGGGGAGTTAGAAAGGCAGAAGAAGACAATGCTATTTACAAGTGATTTAGACAAAAGGAAATTAATGACAGCGATAAGGATGGTAAGGATGAATGGAGTGAAATGATAAGAAGCGATAAGCGAAGTCAAAAATGAAGGAATGAAGTGAGCCATTAAATGATCACAAAAGTAATAAATGAAATGGGAGGTGAAATCAAATGTTATGTGGAGTGATAAGTGAAATGAAATTTTGGCTACCCTCGGACTAACGGCCAGCAAAGATGGCCGCCGCAAAATATCCTGTTGAGCAACAGTCACGTGTCAATTGTGCGCTTCCGGCTACTTAATTTGCGGTCTTCTGACGGATTTCCGCCAAAAACCGCCCCCACGCCGCGTGGATTGGGGACAAACTAGATGGCTAGGACTTACTAGCAGCAGCATCCGCATCGCCTTCAGCCTTGCTCGTAAGTCCTAGCCATCTAGTTTAGCCCTAATCCACACCGCGTAAGCGCCGTGGGGGCCACGCGGCGGTAGCCAAAGTCGCCGGAAAAGCGCAAATTAAGTAGCCGGAAACGCGCAATTGAAACGTGACTGGCTCGACTGGATATTTTGCGGCCGCCATTTTTGTCGACCGTTAGTCGGAGGATAGCCGAAATTTTAAATAGAATGATAAGTGAAATGATAAGAGATAGCCAGCGTTATTTCTTCTTTCGATCCTCCTGGCATCGAGGACAGTACCACTTGCCTTTCGGCTTTGTCTTGAGTTGGACGCAGGCAAAATGAAACCATTCAATAGGGCACTGTGAATGAAAAATATTAGAATCTGCAAAATTACAAGGATTTTACTCTGTGATGTCGAAATACAACTACTGGAACTACAAATGCTACGACAAAAATTTTCAATATCATAACACTTCTACAGCTTCTTCTTCTCTTCCACCTTGTACCTCAGTGAAGTGTCTGGGGAAGATGTAACGTTCATTGATGAGCTCTGTCAAGAGCACTATTAAGACTGATGTTCATTTCTGTAAGGCTGTTCTTAATGCCATCACTCCATATTTTCTGAGGTCTTCCACTGGCTCTATACCCGTTGTAACGTTTTAGTGTGGCTTGTTGTGGCAGATAGTACCAGGGTATTTTTGTTAGGTGCCCAAACCACTTCATTTGTTGTTCTTTGATGACCTGTAAGACTGGCTTTACTTCTAGCATTCTTCAGCAATTGCTCTTAACCCACTGACTACAACGACCGCACGTTATGCCATCGGCTGACAGTTATATCCTGGTTACTTTTATCTAGGGCTGTACAGAATATTCGCTTTGGGGCCGAATAGTGAACCTAATAACTATTCGGCCGAATACTTGCGGATGGGCCGGATATGAATAGTGGTTACCTTACATCAGTTTTTGCATACACTGAGATAGACTAAAATAACTCATTCATTAACACAATAATTGCTGTTGCCTAAGTCTGTCGTAGCGGAAGCAACTGTAACCCCGTTGCTTGGTACGGCATCCAGTTTTACCATATGGCTGTGGGCCCTGGACAATCGGTAGGCAGGCTAAACAATTTCTTGAGGCCTCAAAGATGTGGTTTCACAGAGCAATGCTTAAAATACCTTGGACAGCCACACAAAAAAAGCAACCAAGGGGTTTTGAAAGAGACGGGAGCCCGAAGACAACTAATCACAGACATCAGAAGGAGACAGTCATTATTTTTCGGCCATGTTATGAGGAGAGGGGAAATGGAACATGTGGTGACCACCGAAAAGATCTGTGGAAGGAGGGGTAGAGAAAGACAACAAGAGAAGATTCTTGACAGTCTTGTTGCATGGCATGGAGGTGTGTCAGCACACGAACTAATACATGCTGCAGGAGATCGCAGATTGTGGCAAGGCCCACGCCAGTCGGCAAGGCACCTGATGATGATGATACACTATTCGTATTCGCTTGAATAGTTGGTCCCACTATTCGTATTCGGCCGAATAGTGAAAATCCCTATTCGGTACAGCCCTACTTTTATCGCAATTTTAACATGACAGCAAGCATCCACAGTTAGGATCACAGGGGGTGCGATCACGGCAGCCAGGTGTATCCGTCACATAACATGTGATCATGGTAGACAGCGGGATAAGGAGACTACAGATTAATGACATTAAAGATCTAATGTAATGAGGATGTTCAATGACAATATTATTGCATAAATAAACACAGATGACATCAACTGTGATAACACAACACAACAGTGCTATCTAGTTAAGAATGCAAAATGTTTACATGACACTTAAGAGCAACAGATGACAGTGATGAGATAATTGTCAGAACGTTCTGGCAACTGTTTAGGAAGGAGTGATGCAAAGGTGCCGAACCACAGATGGATGTTCACCAAGACTCAGGGCTTTTAGTCATCTCCACGGTCATCCACTTCTAGACGTTAGCCTTGTTCCAGGGCTTGAATCTTGCACGCATGTTTGTCGTAGTTGAGGTTTCAAACCCACTGCCACTGGGTCACCCCTTACTTGCTCTGTTCCTTTGCCAGTGAAAACCAAGGCAATTGTCTCATACTGTCCCATTTGAAAAAATGGTGAACAAACAGTCTCGGCACAATCCTGAAGTATGGGCATGCAGTTAATGTATAAGGTAGTTGCTAGAGATGCCAAATCCAAGAGTCGCCACCAGAAATGCAGTTTACTGTTAATGGAAGTAGTCAGTCACAATAAGTTTGTGTTTCAATGTAAAATCATTAAAAACTCACGTCTGGATTATCGCAGCCAATCATTTCCCCGTAAGAGACCTGGTTGCACAAACAGTACGTGGGCTCGTTGGGGTCCACTGGCATGTCAAGAACATCTGACGGGTGGGTGGACAGGGGGAAGGGACTCAGAGCCTCGATTTCTGTTTCTTCACTGGAAATAAATTCATACATTTTTGTTAATACTATATTACTATATATATTAGGATACTAGGTCTGTCATCTGCCATGTTAGAAACTCGTTGCCTTTAGGGCTCAGGTTGGAGGGAGAAATGTGAGAGAAGGTTCTGGAGCTTTTGCCGTAACTACAAGTAGTCTGACTATGGTGGTCATGGCTGTGACTAAAGCAGTAACTTGGCTAGAGACACAGACTTTCACTGGGGCATGCTTTCTTAGTGACTTGATGAGTATGCTCGGGAAGATATAGAAGGGCTGGATTCGAACGCAGTGGTTGATGGCTTTACAGCGTTCATGGCTGACAATGTTAGTTTCATTTTCGTGCCAGGACGTGTGGGGGTACAAGGAAACGAGCAAGCTGATAAGCTTGCAGGTAAGGCTACTGTGAAGGCCGGATAAGCCATGAACCAGGCTGATATACTAAATGCTCTACAAGATTTAAGAAATTTTGCCTGAACCAATTGGGAACTGTGAATCTGCAACCATAGTCAGACTGCAAGAACAGCAAGTTTAACAGGGTGTCGCCAAACAAGATCACTATGCAGGTATCCAAAGAAGAAGAATAAACCAACACAAAACTGGTGTCGTCAGCCACTACACGCTGCGGGATTTACTGAGGAGGGGATCCGAGCACATATGGAGTGAGCGGTTTGACGTGCAATGAGGATAATCTTTCAACTAACTAACTATATTAGGATATTATCCCACTGTGGAGTTTCCGGAAATGAAGAAGTTGATAAAGTTGCTAAAGTAGGTGCAAATGAAGAACAACCTGATGTACTAATCAACTGAAGAAGAGAATAATCAAATCAATCAGAAAGCCTCCAAAACCGACACAAGATGATTACCATTTTATGGACAGATCAGAGCAAGTTATTATTCTACGCCTTAGAACAGGGCACAATCCACTTCACAAACACATGCAGATAAAACTTAAGATTGGCGAATCAGCCATGTATACATGTAGACTAGCACCTGAGACAACTGATCATGTCCTCCAAGATTGTCCCAAAAAAAATTGGCCAACCAAAGATAGTGGAGTCCATGTTTTATATGGCTCTGAAACTTGAATAACTTGAAGAAATTAAACCGCATTACATTTTCAAAAACAAGAGTATTACGACGAATCTTTGGACCCATCAAAGATGCAAACAGCAGGTAATGGAGAGTGAGAAGCAACAACGACATTTATAATCTGTTTAAATCACCACTAATCACTGGCATCATGAAATCTCATAGACTGAAATGGCTTGGGCATATTGAGAGAATGTCAAATGGCAGAGAGGTAAAAACTGTATACACAAGGGAGCTGAATAGTTGTAGATCATGAGGCAGACCAAGAAGAGGATGGAGAGATTACATCCAGACAGACCAGCAAAACACTTGGTGTCACTAACTGGAAAGAGAAGGCCAACCAGAGAAATGAGGCTGGTGATATATGCAGCAATGAACCTCAAGGGCTCGAAACGAAGAAGAAGAAGAAGCAGAAGTGGAGTTCATACTAGAGACAGCATTGCAGATAATTTATTTCAAGGTAATGAAAGAAGACGAACAAGAATACTATTTTCATGGTGATCTTATCTAGTGATATCTCAACTTAAAGGGAACAGAGACATGCATGTTTAGGCAGCAATGTGGACAAACAGACTTGAAATACCATTTCAACAGATACAACAGAATATCGTTCCCGTAGCGGCACATCTTCTTCTTCTTCACAGTCACCAGCTGTAAACTCTGGCGGAAAGCTTGGGTTGTTCATCCACTACTAGACTTCAGCCTTGTTCCAGAACTTGAGCTTTGAGTGCACATCAGTTTTACAGATCTGGCTTATATGTATTTAGACTTGATTCTTAACCTCTCAGGCAGATGCACCCCAAGTTCCAAGAAAACCCCCCCCCCCCCCCCTATTTAGTTGACTTTTACGGACATGCTTGTCTGGAGGGAGGGTGGTCAATGGGTCAATTATCTGTCTCCCAAAAATGTGGCCCTGGAACCAACATGAGAAGTGGCACACCGAAAAGTCTCTGTCTCTAGCTTATTCTCCAGCCCTATGTGCTTTCACAGCCATCACATCTTCATTGTGGTGTATCCACCTTCACGGAGACTGGCCTCTGCCTCAGTTTTCTGGGAACTGCGCCCCCCATCACCGCTCTTTTCAGACCAACATGACAGTTAACATCGCCAAACCACCTCAGTTTTCTGGGAACTGAGGCCTCCATCACTGCTCTTTTCAGACCAACATGAAAGTTAACATCGCCAAACCACCTCAGTTTTCTGGGAACTGCGGCCTCCATCACTGCTCTTTTCAGACCAACATGAAAGTTAACATGGCCAAACCACCTCAGTTTTCTAGGAACTGCGGCCTCCATCACTGCTCTTTTCAGACCAACATGAAAGTTAACATGGCCAAACCACCTCAGTTTTCTGGGAACTGCGGCCCCCATCACTGCTCTTTTCAGACCAACATGAAAGTTAACATGGCCAAACCACCTCAGTTTTCTAGGAACTGCGGCCTCCATCACCGCTCTCTTCAGACCAACATGACAGTTAACATGGCCAAGCCACCTCAGTTTTCTGGGAACTCCACCCTCCATCACCGCTCTCTTCAGACCAACATGACAGTTAACATGGCCAAACCACCTCGGTTTTCTGGGAACTGCGCCCCCCATCACCGCTCTCTTCAGACCAACATGACAGTTAACATGGCCAAGCCACCTCAGTTTTCTGGGAACTGCGGCCTCCATCACCGCTCTCTTCAGACCAACATGACAGTTAACATGGCCAAACCACCTCAGTTTTCTGGGAACTGCGCCCCCCATCACCGCTCTCTTCAGACCAACATGACAGTTAACATGGCCAAACCACCTCAGTTTTCTGGGAACTACACCACCCATCACCGCTCTCTTTACTCCAACATGAAAGTTAACATGGCCAAACCACCTCAGTTTTCTGGGAACTACACCACCCATCACCGCTCTCTTCACTCCAACATGACAGTTAACATGACCAAACCACCTCAGTTTTCTGGGAACTACACCACCCATCACCGCTCTCTTCACTCCAACATGACAGTTAACATGACCAAACCACCTCAGTTTTCTGGGAACTACACCACCCATCACCGCTCTCTTCACTCCAACATGACAGTTAACATGGCCAAAACACCTCAGCTTTCTGGGAACTGCGCCACCCATCACCGCTCTCTTCACTCCAACATGACAGTTAACATGGCCAAAACACCTCAGCTTTCTGGGAACTGCGCCACCCATCACCGCTCTCTTCACTCCAACATGACAGTTAACATGGCCAAAACACCTCAGCTTTCTAGGAACTGCGGCCTCCATCACTGCTCTTTTCAGACCAACATGAAAGTTAACATGGCCAAACCACCTCAGTTTTCTGGGAACTGCGGCCCCCATCACCGCTCTCTTCACTCCAACATGACAGTTAACATGGCCAAAACACCTCAGTTTTCTGGGAACTGCGCCATCCATCACCGCTCTCTTCACTCCAACATGACAGTTAACATGGCCAAACCACCACAGTTTTCTGGGAACTGCGGCCTCCATCACTGCTCTTTTCAGACCAACATGAAAGTTAACATGGCCAAACCACCACAGTTTTCTGGGAACTACACCACCCATCACCGCTCTCTTCACTCCAACATGACAGTTAACATGGCCAAACCACCACAGTTTTCTGGGAACTACACCACCCATCACCGCCTCTTCATCACTGCTCTGGCCAAACCACCACAGTTTTCAGGGACCAACATGACCGTTAACATGGCCAAACCACCACAGTTTTCTGGGAACTACACCACCCATCACCGCTCTCTCTTCACTCCAAAACATGGGACACTACACCACCCATCACCGCTCTCTTCACTCAACATGGCCAAACCACCACAGTTTTCTGGGAACTACACCACCCATCACCGCTCTCTTCACTCCAACATGACAGTTAACATGGCCAAACCACCTCAGTTTTCTGGGAACTACACCACCCATCACCGCTCTCTTCACTCCAACATGACAGTTAACATGGCCAAACCACCACAGTTTTCTGGGAACTACACCACCCATCACAGTTTTCGCTCTCTTCTTTTCTCCAACATGACAGTTAACATGGCCAAACCACCACAGTTTTCTGGGAACTACACCACCCATCACCGCTCTCTTCACTCCAACATGACAGTTAACATGACCAAACCACCTCAGTTTTCTGGGAACTACACCACCCATCACCGCTCTCTTCACTCCAACATGACAGTTAACATGACCAAACCACCTCAGTTTTCTGGGAACTACACCACCCATCACCGCTCTCTTCACTCCAACATGACAGTTAACATGGCCAAAACACCTCAGCTTTCTGGGAACTGCGCCACCCATCACCGCTCTCTTCACTCCAACATGACAGTTAACATGGCCAAAACACCTCAGCTTTCTGGGAACTGCGCCACCCATCACCGCTCTCTTCACTCCAACATGACAGTTAACATGGCCAAAACACCTCAGCTTTCTAGGAACTGCGGCCTCCATCACTGCTCTTTTCAGACCAACATGAAAGTTAACATGGCCAAACCACCTCAGTTTTCTGGGAACTGCGGCCCCCATCACCGCTCTCTTCACTCCAACATGACAGTTAACATGGCCAAAACACCTCAGTTTTCTGGGAACTGCTCCATCCATCACCGCTCTCTTCACTCCAACATGACAGTTAACATGGCCAAAACACCTCAGTTTTCTGGGAACTACACCACCCATCACCGCTCTCTTCACTCCAACATGACAGTTAACATGGCCAAACCACCTCAGTTTTCTGGGAACTGCGGCCTCCATCACTGCTCTTTTCAGACCAACATGAAAGTTAACATGGCCAAACCACCACAGTTTTCTGGGAACTACACCACCCATCACCGCTCTCTTCACTCCAACATGACAGTTAACATGGCCAAACCACCTCACCTCAGCTTTTCACTCTGGGAACTGCTCCATCCATCACCGCTCTCTTCACTCCAACATGACAGTTAACATGGCCAAACCACCTCAGTTTTCTGGGAACTACACCACCCATCACCGCTCTCTTCACTCCAACATGACAGTTAACATGGCCAAACCACCTCAGTTTTCTGGGAACTACACCACCCATCACCGCTCTCTTCACTCCAACATGACAGTTAACATGGCCAAACCACCACAGTTTTCTGGGAAAACACCTACACCACCCATCACCGCTCTCTTCACTCCAACATGACAGTTAACATGGCCAAAACACACAGCTTTCAGTTTTCTGGGAACTACACCACCCCCATCACCGCTCTCTTCACTCCAACATGACAGTTAACATGGCCAAACCACCTCAGTTTTCTGGGAACTCCACACCCACCACCTCAGTTTCTGGGAACATCACCGCTCTCTTCACTCCAACATGACAGTTAACATGGCCAAAACACCTCAGTTTTCTGGGAACTACACCACTCATCACTGCTTTTTCAGACCAACATGGGTTAACTATGGCAAACCCATTTTCTGGGAACTACGCTCTCACTGCTCTCACTCCAACATGACAGTTAACATGGCCAAACCACCACAGTTTTCTGGGAACTACACCACCCATCACCGCTCTCTTCACTCCAACATGACAGTTAACATGGCCAAACCACCACAGTTTTCTGGGAACTACACCACCCATCACCGCTCTCTTCACTCCAACATGACAGTTAACATGGCCAAACCACCTCAGTTTTCTGGGAACTACACCACCCATCACCGCTCTCTTCACTCCAACATGACAGTTAACATGGCCAAACCACCTCAGTTTTCTGGGAACTACACCACCCATCACCGCTCTCTTCACTCCAACATGACAGTTAACATGGCCAAAACCACCTGGGAACACACCACCTATCACGCTCTTTCACTCCAACATGGGAAACTGCCAAACCACCACAGTTTTCTGGGAACTACACCACCCATCACCGCTCTCTTCACTCCAACATGACAGTTAACATGGCCAAACCACCTCAGCTTTTCTGGGAACTGCCACACCACCATCTGCCGCTCTCTTCACTCCAACATGACAGTTAACATGGCCAAACCACCTCAGTTTTCTGGGAACTACACCCCCCATCACCGCTCTCTTCAGACCAACATGACAGTTAACATGGCCAAACCACCTCAGTTTTCTGGGAACTGCGGCCTCCATCACTGCTCTTTTCAGACCAACATGAAAGTTCACATGGCCAAACCACCTCAGTTTTCTGGGAACTGCGCCATCCATCACCGCTCTCTTCAGACCAACATGAAAGTTAACATGGCCAAACCACCTCAGTTTTCTGGGAACTGCGCCCCCCATCACCTCTCTTCAGACCAACATGAAAGTTAACATGGCCAAACCACCTCAGTTTTCTAGGAACTGCGGCCTCCATCACTGCTCTTTTCAGACCAACATGAAAGTTAACATGGCCAAACCACCTCAGTTTTCTGGGAACTGCGCCCCCCATCACCGCTCTTCAGACCAACATGACAGTTAACATGGCCAAACCACCTCAGTTTTCTGGGAACTGCGCCCCCCATCACCGCTCTCTTCAGTTTTTTTGGGAACTGCGCCCCCCACAAACATGACAGTTAACATGGCCAAACCACCTCAGTTTTCTGGGAACTGCGCCCCCCATCACCGCTCTCTTCAGACCAACATGACAGTTAACATGGCCAAACCACCACAGTTTTCTGGGAACTGCGCCCCCCATCACCGCTCTCTTCAGACCAACATGACAGTTAACATGGCCAAAACACCTCAGTTTTCTGGGAACTGTGCCATCCATCACCGCTCTCTTCACTCCAACATGACAGTTAACATGACCAAACCACCTCAGTTTTCTGGGAACTGCGCCCCCCATCACCGCTCTCTTCACTCCAACATGACAGTTAACATGGCCAAAACACCTCAGTTTTCTGGGAACTGTGCCATCCATCACCGCTCTCTTCAGACCAACATGAAAGTTAACATGGCCAAACCACCACAGTTTTCTGGGAACTGTGCCATCCATCACCGCTCTCTTCACTCCAACATGACAGTTAACATGGCCAAAACACCACAGTTTTCTGGGAACTGTGCCATCCATCACCGCTCTCTTCAGACCAACATGACAGTTAACATGGCCAAACCACCTCAGTTTTCTGGGAACTACACCACCCATCACCGCTCTCTTCAGACCAACATGACAGTTAACATGGCCAAACCACCTCAGTTTTCTGGGAACTGTGCCCCCCATCACCGCTCTCTTCAGACCAACATGACAGTTAACATGGCTAAACCACCTCAGTTTTCTGGGAACTGCGCCCCCCATCACCGCTCTCTTCAGACCAACATGACAGTTAACATGGCCAAACCACCTCAGTTTTCTGGGAACTGCGCCCCCCATCACCGCTCTCTTCAGACCAACATGAAAGTTAACATGGCCAAACCACCTCAGTTTTCTGGGAACTACACCACCCATCACCGCTCTCTTCAGACCAACATGACAGTTAACATGGCCAAACCACCTCAGTTTTCTGGGAACTGTGCCCCCCATCACCGCTCTCTTCAGACCAACATGACAGTTAACATGGCCAAACCACCTCAGTTTTTTTCTGGGAACTGCGCCCCCATCACCGCTCTCTTCAGACCAACATGACAGTTAACATGGCCAAACCCACCTCAGTTTTCTGGGAACTGCGCCCCCCATCACCGCTCTCTTCAGACCAACATGAAAGTTAACATGGCCAAACCACCTCAGTTTTCTGGGAACTGCGCCCCCCATCACCGCTCTCTTCAGACCAACATGAAAGTTAACATGGCCAAACCACCTCAGTTTTCTGGGAACTGCGCCCCCCATCACCGCTCTCTTCAGACCAACATGAAAGTTAACATGGCCAAACCACCTCAGTTTTCTGGGAACTGCGCCCCCCATCACCGCTCTCTTCAGACCAACATGAAAGTTAACATGGCCAAACCACCTCAGTTTTCTGGGAACTGCGCCCCCCATCACCGCTCTCTTCAGACCAACATGAAAGTTAACATGGCCAAACCACCTCAGTTTTCTGGGAACTGCGCCCCCCATCACCGCTCTCTTCAGACCAACATGAAAGTTAACATGGCCAAACCACCTCAACTTTTGAGGCAGGATGCTGTTTATGAGCCAGTTCTCCTCGATGCTCAGATCATGTAGATCCAGAACCTGAGTTTTTGAGTGCATGTACATTTTACAGATCTGGCTTATTTGTATGCAGACTGTTGGTTCCTTACTTCTCTGACTCCGAAGGAAACACCCCCTGGCTTTTACGACACTGATACAGCAGGGCCACGTTTACTCAAGGCCAAAATTTTTATAATAGAAATCGTCATGGCCTGAACCGAAGCATAGAAAGATCATTAATACAATACAGCTGGCAGTGATCTGCAGGAAACTTGCTATGCCTGCGCTGGCCGCCAGCTGATTAGCCCTGTTATAGCACCATGACATTTGGAAGTCAAGATCACTCAGCAACAACACGAAACTTAAGGTCTTCAATTCCTGTGTGATCCCAGTGCTAACTTATGGTTGTGAGAGTTGGAAATCATCAGTATCAATCGATAAGACACTAGTCGCTTTCGAGAATAGATGCCTCCGAAAGCTATTGAATGTTCACTGGTCGGACTTTAGGTCCAATACATCTATAAGACAGGAAACAAAACAAAAATATGTGTCTGATTTTATTAGAATGCGTCGCTGGAATTACATCGGTCACGTACTCAGAATGGACATACAGAGACTTCCCCACCAAGCCTTCATATGGTCACCAGAGGGTAAAAGAAAACAGGGAAGACCAAAAGAAACTCTCCGTAGAACCATCACAAGGGAGAGCTCAACCAAAGGTCTCAGTCGCACTCAAGACCTACATCAAGTGGCAAAGAACCGACAGACGTGGAAAGCTATGACCTCTGCCCTATGCGCCATCTTTGGCACAAGAGGAATAACTAACTAACTAACTAATAGCACCATCAGAGAACACTGTCCCAGGATCGAAAAACAATATTGGACTATTTCACTTTCCTTAAATTGCCTCTTCCTTTCCTCATGAACTTCAGACTGTTCTCAAACATTTGTTTTCTTTGCTTGGCATGCTTTTGACCAAACTGCACACACAAATTGTCTTCACCCTATCCCCTACTGAAGTCCTAGAAACCCCCTTAGGAAAGGCAACCATTTCATTTACTGTCTTTCTTTGCACAAATAATTGCAGTAAATTATGGCGCACAAGTCGAGTCTTCATCTTAAAAAAATCTACGCTGTTAGGCATATATAGGCCCTCTTCAGCATTACAAGCTAAAGAATTTGAGGTCAACTTGCTTGCCATAGTTTACTGTATTTAAATTATGCTAATTTCACTGGCCACAAACACACAAGGCTTACTCTGCAAACAATCCTTTCTTCTTCTTTTTCTTTGGAATCTCATCTTCAAAGTCATCTTTGTTGCTCTTTCGTTTCTTCTTTTCCTTCTCACCTTCTGGAGAAACAAAGATGAAATTATATTTATAAAGCACGTATATAGTATGTGAGTCAAAGTTGAAGTGTCTTGTCTGTTAATTTGTACACATTTACCTCTCTGTGGACGTATCACCACTTTAGTGGCTTCTGAATCCAACACGTTTAGACGAATCACCACCTAAGTGACTCCACGCATAGACACTCTAATATAGTTTCGTTTGCTGGGAAAACGAATTTGTATGACGTTTTGAAAAACTAGAATTAGCGAAACAGAGTCTTTTTGTCTTGGAAGTTCGGTGTGGTGTTTGGATAACTTTCTGAATTGTTTTAAATTATTTAGATGTGATATGATTCTTACATGATTTTTCTATACCAAATAATTAGGAAAAGGGTCTAGACCTGAAGTACATTCTACTCTGTCACTGATGAATCTCGGCTAGATGGTGACAACAGTCTTCATGTTATGATTGATAATGCATATGCCAAACCTATTGCTGATAATACAGGTTAGGAGTTGAGTGCATGGTGTGACACTGTGAGCTACGTGTGTTTTTCGTTGGCACAGAAGCGGAGCAACTATGGGGTGACCCGTTTGCTATGAAGCTGAAACTAGGATTACCAGATTACAGGTTAGGATAAAGTTGAACAAAATATTTCAATCGGATCATCCCTGTTTCAATCAGCTGTTTCAGGAATTCGGTTGTGGTGAAATTTAATGTCATACAAAAATCGTCATAAAATCCAAAGTATTTAAATTATTTGTTTAAAATAAAGACTAGCTGATGCATAACTGAATAGAGAAAGCATGTGAAATCTTAGAAATGAATAGCAGTGTTCCGAATAAGTAAAAAGTAAGGTAAGCACAATATTTAATGTGTAAAGAATCTTCAAATATCTGATCCTTGAATTTTGTAGGATTTTAATTTTCTTTTTTAGTTCTGATATTTAAGTAGTTTAGATTTATTTTGCATTCATTTTTCTTGAACTTGATATATTATTTGTTCATATACAGCCAATACTTTTCTTCATGAAGGTTTTAGCTTTGTCATGTTGCAGTAAAATAAAAACATTCAGCTCAAAATTAATCTGTCCAAACCCCTGAAAAAAAATGTAATCCTGTAAGAGTTAAGAATCAAAATTAAGTTTTTCAGGATACCAGGGCGGCTAGCCAACTTATTTTGCCCCAGAGTAAGATGCGAAATCCCGGATGTGAGCTACAGAACAAGAACTCTCAGCGTCACTTGACAGCATCTCGATTTAAATTAGGTCGTGCTAACATTGCCAGAGAAGGACTCAAATAAAAAGTAATTGCCGATGTGAAAGGTATAATTGCCTACGCCAGTCGACAAGGCACTTAATGATGATAGACTGTAGCATGAAGGCCGTAAGTAACCCCGTTTGCACCTGCGCAAACTTTTAGGTCAGGGTATAGACCATCATCATCGTTATGTGCCATGCCAACTGGCGTAGGCGCTCATGCGTCTCCACAGATCACGATCCCTGGTTGCCTGGAACAGCTCTCTTGATGATATCCCTCCATGCCATCGTTTCAACACATCCAGTCAAAATTCTCCGGTCAGCCTCAGTGATAGCAAGCATGGGGTCACAACATGATTACCTGATATATATGTTGCTTTTTAAGCCCAAGGGAATGTACTTCATTTAATGCTTCACGACGTTCATATTTACTGATTACTTTATATATTCCTAGAGAAAGTGGGGAGGGTGGGGGGGGGGGGGGCATACTTGAAGGAAAAAAATTAACAAATTTATTAGTGTCCTGAGTATAAAGGTTTTTTAAATGGAATTCCAAAGGAGTCATGACCCCTTCTTTTTAAGCGTTCCCAGGGCAAGAGTGTTAACAATTTATAAATTATTCTGAAAATAAAAAATATATCTGGTAAACTTACAGAAAATAACCACTACTGTGCAACAAGCCTACAAAATTTATTCATCATATCACAGAAACCTCCAGTAGTCAGTCCTTTTACTGCGACCTAATATTTTGCAGCTACAGATGTCGCACATGCCCAAATACAGCCCTGGGTAAATATCAAACAATTAGGTTAAATTACCCCACATCATCATCATCATCAGGTGCCTTGCCGACTGGCGTGGGCGATCATGCCTCTCCATAATCTGCGATCTCCTGCTGCATGTATCGGTTTGTGTGCCGCCACACCTCCATGCCATGCAACAAGACTGTCAAGCATCTTCTCTCGTTGTCTTCCTCTATCTCTCCTTCCAAAGATCTTTCCAGTGGTCACAACATGTTCTATTTTCCCTCTTCTCATAACATGGCCGAAAAATGATGACTGTCTCCTGATGTCTGTGATAAGTTGTCATACATACACAAAAAAACATAAATAAAGAAGAACAAAGAAAACACAACGATGGCCTCACTTTTCTGGGCCGTTGTAACTTTTGCTTCAGTTATGGAATTCTTGTGCCCGGAACTTTTGTCCTTTAAATCTGCCTCAAACCGCGCCAGTTCTGAGTCCAGCTTCCGTATATGTTTGTCAACCTGGATAATGATAGTAGCCGTGCATTTATAAACGAACTAACACATTTAATTTTCGAAGGGCTTAAGGCATTGTTTTAAATTCAACCCTTCCAAACACTCATTATTCATACTGTAAATTACCTCCAAAGCATGTTATGTCATCTAACAATACACAGTAATTCCCCAAATATAAAACACAAATCAACATCATCATGCAGCAGGTCCTTTGAAAAACGTCGCTGTCATCCTGGTCTGCCTAAAAGAAACTTGGTCTCTGGCCAGCTCTCCTGCCTCATGTCAAGAAATCACTTATATCCTGTGCCCATCTTTGTGTTGGTCGGCCCCTGCCCCTCCTTCCTGGTACCATGCCCTCTGCTTTAATTTTTACCAATCCGTCGTCGCGCTTGATATGACCAAAGTATTTCAGCTTCCAAGACAGGATGCTGTTTTTTAGCCAATCTTCCTTGTTGTTCAGATCTTTCAAGATGTCAGTATTTCTCTTCTTCTTTGTCCAAGATATTCTGAGAATCTTTCTATAGCATTTCAGCTCAAAAGCCGCTATTCTCATTTTTAAGGACGGGGAGAGAGTCCACGACTCACATATTTTCTAAAAAATATAGGGTCTAAAACATGAATTTTAACAGACTTGGCCCACATTAATTTCCCTTTATTTAAATAGCAGAGAGGGGGGTGTACAAGAAAGGCAATAGAGAATGTAATATACGTCTAATGTCAATAAAAGTATATATTTTTATAAAAAGAAACGAATGCACATTTTGAATCTGATGACAAGTGTATGTTTAATACTATTAAAGTAAGTAGGAAATAAGGATTCAGCAGGTGTTAATTTTACAACAACAAAATTTTACAAATAAATTCTCCACTAACCATTGTTTACCAGCCACAAGAGCAGTGAATATCCAAATTTGAGAATAACACTTTAAAGTTTGTTAAATTTCCTAACAAATTCCAAATTTATGATAAGTTTCTGGGTTAGTTTAGCACTCAGGGGCTCTTAGTTCCCACAGAGTACTTAACAAAATTTCTAAGAAAAAAATGGACCATTACACACACAATATTTACTTTGTACAGTTAAACTGAGACTGTAGCTGCAATGATTTTAATGTAGCTTACCTGTAGTATGGTAGAATCTGTCGCAGGAGCTACGGAGCATGTGCTCTGCGCTTGACGTCATTTTCAGCGAGCAGCAAAGAGAGAGTGAAGAGGAGAAAATGAGGGAATGATGAGAAAAAAAAGCAGAGAAAAAGAAGGGCAGAAGCCAGGAGATTAGGGCAAAAAATAAAAACAGAACAGCTGGGGTTTAACCATGTAATAGTGTAACCAGAGGGTCTGGCCGACTCACTACACTCAGAGGAAAGGCAAGACGGACATATAACCAGATTGTGTACTGGAACACTGCGCTGGCTGCTGAAGATGAGGACGGAGCACAGACGGAAATGCCTCGAGTGCTGTGAAGTCAATTTTTGACTCAGCTCATTGGTAGTATTTATTTGTTTGAGGAACTGTTCTTCTCTTATACCCTGAACACTGTACCAATGGAACATTCTGTGTCACATTCATCAGAACTGCTGGATTCCCTAACAGCTGATCGCTCAGCTGCCGCTGGTGAAAATTCACCGTCCAAATCACTTTCCAAATATTCATAATTTTCATTATCAGAATTTTAAAAATCTGACTGAAACAATTTCAGAATTTTGGCAGCAGAAAGATGCATTCTGCTACCTGTATTGTGGTTGGAACACGTTTCCTTGACACTCGAAAACAAACCAAGAAAATGTACAGTTGAAAATAACATAGGTATGAATCAGATAAGTCTATGCACATGTGTCATGGAACACGTAATTTTATTAAAAGGAAATCTTTAGAGTAACCTTCCCTGAATACTTTAATTTAAACATTACAAATACGGAGCTGTGTGCGAAGCAATATGTACGGGACACAATATCGACACTGACAGTGTTGTCTGAGCAAATCGGAACTTCTTAATCAACACTCACAGCGTTGCTCGGGTCTTAAAGAGTTAAATATGGTGAACAATTTATAAAATTAAAAGTTACTTCCTACTCTAATAGTTTTTTTTTTCCCGTATCTTCAATGGACCTCCAACTTTCACAGGGATGTTAAAAGTAGAGTAACATTAGAACTGAAAATATGTAACTTTGTTCTAAAATGTTACAATTCAGATTAAAATTATATAATTCAGAGTTACAATTTATATAATTCAGAGTTAAAAATTACATAACTGAGAGTTGAATACTTTATTCAAGCTTTTAAAATCTGAAATGTTACAACTGAATATAAAAACAAGAGTAATATTACAGTGAAATACACAAACAAGGGGAAGTTACCATTTCATACGTCTGCATGGCAAGTGACACTTTATCGTCACCATATTCTCTATTTTTCATGAACATGGACTCAATATGGTTCAGCTGATTCGTCCGCTTGTCAGGGGACATGTGGCGGACTTTGCTCAAGTAGTCTGTCGCCGCTTTATCTATTTTCTTCATCAGGTCTGAAAGAGAAGACAGTTGTGAAATCATGTAAAACAGTTACCAGACAGGCGTGAAACCATGTAAAACAGTTACCAAACAGGCGTGAAATCACGTGAAACAGTTACCAGACAGGCGTGAAACCATGTGAAACAGTTACCAGACAGGCGTGAAATCATGTGAAACAGTTACCAGACAGGCGTGAAATCATGTGAAACAGTTACCAGACAGGCATGAAACCATGTGAAACAGTTACCAGACAGTTGTGAAATCATGTGAAACAGTTACCAGACAGGCGTGAAATCATGTGAAACAGATACCAGACAAAGAACACTTGGGAAATAAAGGGATTAAGGAAAGGAGGGCACCCTCAAGAAACCCTAAGATGAAAGTTGATGAAAGAGACCAAAGCTGCTGGACTAGATTTCATCCAAGATATTGAGCTCACTGCCAGAAAAGAACAGAATGCAACCCTATGTGGCACAACAGGATATTGAAACGTTCCGAAACAATACCCTAAGAAACAGAAGAAGAGAAGACAAATCAGAAGAATGTGGAGTGATGATCAGTTTGTATAAAAGTCCAGGGGGTTCAAACCAATGATCCCCGAGCAGACAGGCAAGCCTGCTGCTATTATTTGTGTGACCACAGCTCCCAAGACATTAAAAAGATTATTTTTCATATGCAGACATTATTTGCGCAGCGTTATATTTTTTATTATGATGGCAGGTGCTGACTAAATACAATCGGGACAAATGAATAACTGATTTCTTTCCCTTTAACCAAGAAAACAGGAGAGAGAGAGCAGTCATCACGATCATCATGTGCCCTGCCAACTGACGTAGGCGCTCATGCATCTCCACAGATCACAATCATTGGTTGACTGGATGATATCCCTCCATGCCATCATTTTAGCCCATCTAGCATCATCTCTCTTGGTCTGCCTCCACCCAGTTGTGCCAAGATAATCCTGGATGATGATCAGCTTATTACCTCATACAACATCAGAATAGTGATGCAGTGGATTCCAGGTCACTCCGGTACACCAGGTAATGACAGAGCTGACAGATTGGCAAAGAAAGGAGCAACACAAGAACAACCACCTACAGCGACAACCCTCCAGACAGCAAAAACACTGATAAGAGCTATAAACAAAGAGACTTGGTTGAACAGATGGGCCGTGGGAGACACTGGAAAAGAGGTTTATAGACATATGTCTGGCCCTGATCCTAATGACAGCATTAACCATCTAACAAGAAGGGACCAGGCCACCATCTTCAGACTTAGAACGCAACATACTCCACTCAATGGACACCTAAACAGAATACAGCCACAACACTCCCCAGAGTGCCAGCTATGTAACTACCCCTACGAAACTGTTGAACACCATCTCTTTGAGTGCCCAAAACTCAGTGAGACAAGAAGAACGCTACTCCCTCCGAGACCAGACAAGTGGAACACCTTGTACGGAGGAAAAGAACAGCTTGTGAAAACATGCAAATTCCACTACATGGCATTGGGCCAAAGGGCGAAAGCTCATGCGCTGCTGGATCGATAACAACAACTCCACCCAGTTGTCACAATGTTCTCCAATGTCTCTCTTCTAATTATATGGCCAAAGAACAGTGTTTGTCTCTTTCTTATTTTTGTATATAGAGATCTACTTTCATTAGCCTCTTTCAAGCATTCGTTGTTAGTTACTCTGGCCGTCCAAGGTATTCGTAACGTTCGTCTCAGAAACCACACCTCTGTTGCTTTTAAATTCTTCTTAATTTGGTCAGTGACATTCCAACATTCGCTGCCATACGGCAGAACAGGTTCTATGTAACATTTAGCACCTTCTTACATCTTCAGTCACATCTCTTAATGTATGTAACAATGACAAAAAAATTAATAATTTTTTTCCACCCTAACTATCTCTAAAAAGAGATACACATTTCTACGGATCAACTGGCATTCTATAGGTCATAAACTCAACATTATTCCCTTCCTATGTCACTTTTGCGACCTCAGCTAGTAACAGTGCATCCCAATGCCGCAATTCTTTTGTTGTTTTAAAGCCCTAACTTGGCTGTACTTTCTGAGGGGTCCCTAATAGAACCCAACTATGGGCTGAACCGGGTTTCTGGAACCTGTCCGCAGGCAATCATCAACCGAATGATGGCACCGAGCTGGGTGTGATGACCTGGTTGGGTTGAACGTCACTTTTGTGACCCCTTTTTTAGCTTGGTTAACCTGGCAGCCCAAGTCAATTTTTTTTAAAGTCTTTAATCAGTTTTGAACCCAAAACTTTCCGAGTGGAAGCGAGTCGCACTTCTGCAGCTCAGGCAACAATGAAACACAAAACATTATGTACCTTGAGATCTCTGATCTAGATCACTCATTAAGTGAAAGTTTCGCTGCATCTCCGCAGGGAGCAGATCCAAGCCTGAAAAACAAACAAATTCTGTTAACAATCCATCGTTTGTGTAAGTTCACATTTAAAAAAAAGTAAAGTTGGGAGATGTGAACTAGCGTCATTGCACACGGTTATAAACCATAAGTGCTCTGCCACCAGTACAGACAGTTGATAAGTATTGTCTGCCTGTGTCGCTGTTCGCATGTAACTCTGTAGCTACAGCGACGTTCCTCCATTTACCCTAGAGTGTCAACTCTGGTACCCATTTACTAGAGGCTGGGTAAACCCCGGGGGCCGCCCGGTTTGGAACACCGACTGTGGGCTGCAGCGAGTTGCAGCTGGATTTGAAAGTGAGCCTCTTATCGACTGCGCTAACGCAGCCCCCTTAGTTCACATAATGAGGTTCTGTAATATTTAACACTGCTTTAGCTTAGGGTTAAGGCTCATCGATTGTGTCCCTGGCTATCCTCCGAATAACTGGCACATATTATGGCGGCCGCAAAAAAAAAAAAACTTAACACAGCCTCAGTCGCGTGTCATTTGCACTTTCCTGCGACTACCGCCATCGCTGAGAGTATTCCCCACGCCACGTGGATTGGGGCTAAACTAGATGGCTGGGACTCACGAGCAGCAGCTTCCGCATCTCCATGATCTCCTGCAGCTTTGCAGATAGATAATATGTACCCGTTATTCGGAGAGCCGTTTGAAATAGTGCCCTATCAATCACTATCTCCTGACCTGGTGCTGTCCTTCCATTTACATCGCTGTTAATCTCTTGCCAGTCATCACCTTTCCCTTAAATCAATATGGTTTTTTTTAACTTATTATTATAGTTGTGGTAAGT